AGGCCTAACAAACGAAACGAAAACCAGAAGAGAAAGGTGCGTGCGGGTAGGGGGAAAAGGTGAATCGACTAAACGAGCCTGAAATGCAACCTAAAAAAGACTAGAAGAGGGCCTAACCAACAAAAAGAACACCAGGAGAGAAAGGTGCGTGTGGGTGGCGGGAGGGGGGGGCTGATAGACAGGTTGTGGCTGATAGTCAGATGGCCGTAATTGGCGCTCCCTTGACTAAAAAGGACTGAATTACAATCTAACAAGCCTTTAGCAACGAACAAAAGACCTAGAACAAGAAAAGAAAACGAAAGAAGAAAAGCAGCTCACGCAGATCTGTACAAACGAAGCTAGATACCGGATGAGTTAGGATTCAAAATTTGAGTTGCATGACAGTGCAACTTGATAGATAGACAGGCAGGCAGACAGACAGACAGCAGACACTGAGTATGGGGTTATGAGTTGTAATTGGATGGATATGTAATGATTCATGATTGAGAATACGTAAGTCCAGCTGGGGTTAGGATACGACGCCGTCACTGGTGAAACTGTAAATCTACGTAAGCGCCCAAGTCAACGTGAAATGGTTCGCGGCTTAATTAGCTGCCAGCCATGGACTGTCATTGCCGAGCACGTCAAACATGTTAAACATATTGCTTGGGCTTAGCTGCTCGCCATATGACACAAAATGCAGGTATGTTCAAATGGCGAACCCATACATCCCACGCTGTGATTTATTAGCTTCGTTGATTTGGGTTAATTGCAGAGTGCCCAGTTCTTTGTTTCTTGCTTCATTAACTTGAGAATCTCCCAGTGAACGCACACACGCACAGATGAAACACCAGAGACAGAAGTCTGTGGGCGGGACGTATGGATGGACGCCCCTGCACTAGCCGCAGCGCATATCCTTGGAACAGCATGACAACCATGCGTGTTGTAGTGCTGTATGTAGCGCAGCGGGATTTGTGATGTAAGATTCAGGATTTAGGAGTCAGGCGTCAGGATGTTGGAATCAGGCACGACATGACAAATCAGGATTTATATATTCGTCAAGCCCCTAGTAACTAGTAGGCCCCTCCTGCGCAACACAGCCCTCAAAGTTCGAGTGGGCACTGAGTGTTCTAGCAAATGTGCATGCCGTGGCCTCAGGCGTATATCAAGGAACAACTTTCGCAGTAGCTGCCCTGATTGGCGCTGCTTTACCAGAGTTGCTCCTACGCCTGACCAGGGACAGTGACTTGTCATTGTCGAGAGTAGATCATGATAGCGTCGGGAAATAATCCCAGTGGGTGTTGCTACTCAAGCGTGGTTATTTAAGGGCTTACGCCCGACAGCCGGCCAGGGGCCCAAGCAAAGGGCTTGTTGTTGTTGTTGTTGTTGTGGTTGTTGTTGTTGTTGCTGTTGCTTTCTTGGCCCAGCTTGGGTCGATGTTGGCGTATCTTGGGGGCTATCTAGGCATCTTGGGAGCTATGCTAGCCCATCTTGTCGCTATGTTGGGGCTATGTTGGCCCATCTTGGGGGCTATGTAGGCCCATCTTGGCGCTATCTTGGCCCATCTTGGGGCCATGTCGGCCCCTATGTTGGCCCATGTTGGGGCTATGTGGCCCATGTTAGCCAAGCATTCGCCCACGATGCAGACGAAGCACCCCGGTGCGGCACGCATTTCCAGCATTATTTGGGGCTATGTTGGGCCATGTTGACCCATCTTGAGCCACAAAGCCGGAAAAATGGAAGAAGCAGAAAACACTGTAAAGCACAGTATTTCTGGCGGGTCGGCGGCGGGGGGGGACGGACTCCCCTCTCTCCTTCGGAGAGGAGAGATTGCCTACGGCAAGGACACGGCCAGGGGCCCCTGGCCGGATTTAAGGGCTTACGCCCGACAGCCGGCCAGGGGCCCAAGCAAAGGGATGGTTGCAGTGGTGGTAGTGTTCGTGTCGTGGTTGTGGTGGTAGTGGTTGTTGTTGTGGTTGTGTAGTGTGGGGGTTGAGATTGCTGTTGTTGTTGTTGAGGTTGCTCTTGTTGTGGTTGTCGTGGTGGTAGTTGTGGGTGTGGACATGGGCCCCGCAGCCACCCACGATGCAGACGAAGCTCCCCAATGCGGCACGCATTTCCAGCATTATTGGGGCCTATTTTCGGCTTATGTTAGCCCATGTTAGCCCATCTGGAGCCACAAGAGCGGAAAAGTGGAAGAAGCAGAAAACACTGTAAAACACACAATTCCTGTGGGGTCGAGCTGGGGTCGGCGGCGAGGGGCGGACGCCGCTCTCTCCTACGGAGAGGAGAGACGCCTACGGCAAGGACACGGCCAGGTGGGGCCCCTTGGGCCCCTGGCCGGATTGTAAGGGCTTCGCCCTGGTGCCGCCGACAGGTGTCCAAAGGATCTGGAGACCGCAAAATCCCTAGGGTACCAAAGACTACTACAACAACAGTCGAGCGTTGCTAACCCATGAAGCAACGTAAACAGCACGACAGCAGCAGGATAACGGACTGAGCAGCAGAGGACAGGGGGATAACGCCAACGCAGCAAGACGAGGACGAAAGAAGGACAAAAGAAGGAGGACAAGAGGAGGTAAATGGAGTATGCAGGAGAGAATCCGGAGAAGGGGAGGACCAGAGACGGACAAG